TAGGTGCTGTTGAGGCTGCGACTCCAGGTGCTGGTGAGGCTGTCGCTCTAGGTGCCAGTGAGTCTGTGTCCTCAGGTGCTGGTGATTCTGCTCTCTCAGGTACTACGTCGGCTCCGCCCTCTCTCACCTTCAATCTTGACTCAGGGGCGTCTCGCTCCTTCTTTCGAGACCGCACCATACTCACGCCGCTCAGTCGGCCAGTGGCGGTCTCCCTGGCGGACCCCTCTGGGGGTCCTCTTCTGGCTCGCTACTCCACTGTCCTGCCGTGCCCTGCGGTCCCGTCTGGCGCCCTGTCCGGTCTCTACCTCCCCTCGTTCTCTACGAACTTGGTGGCGGGTGCTGACCTACAGGATGCAGGGGTCGACCAGTTCACCCCTGCACGCCGACGGGACACCCACTGCACGGACGCGGACACGGGTCGACACTTGACCACGTTCACACGTGGGCCGGGGTCGAGCCTGTACACACTCACGGTTCCGTCTCCTCCTCCTCCGTCTAGTCAGGTAGCTGCGTCGGGTCAGGTGTTTGCTGCAGCGTCCAGGTCTGGTCCTAAGTCTGCCCCCTGCTCGTGTCGCCTCCTGTCCCACGAGACCCTCCTGTGGCACCACAGGATGGGTCACCCCTCCCTGCCTCGTCTCCGGGGCATGGCCTCTCGCCTTCTTGTCTCTGGCCTTCCCCGGTCCCTCCCTCCTCTTCCTCCGGGACCTGGCCCTCCCTGTGTCCCCTGTGTCGAGGGTCGCCTGCGGGCTACCCCTCACTCCTCCCCGTTTCCTCCGACGGAGGCCCCGATGCAGACGCTTCACATGGACGTGTGGGGCCCAGCCCGCGTCCGTGGACAGGGTCACGAGCGCTACTTCCTGCTGGTGGTTGACGACTACTCGCGTTACACCACAGTCTTCCCCTTGCGCAGCAAGGGTGAGGTCACTGAGGTGTTGATCGACTGGATCCGCGCAGCTCGTCTCCAGCTCAGGCGGAGCTTCGGCTCGGACTTTCCTGTTTTGCGTCTGCACTCGGACAGAGGCGGAGAGTTCTCCTCCGGCCTTCTGCGAGCCTACTGTCAGGCACGAGGCATCCGCCAGACCTTCACGCTTCCGGACTCTCCACAGCAGAATGGGATTGCTGAGCGCCGCATCGGCATTGTCATGGACGTCGCCCGTACGTCCATGGTGCATGCGGCTGCCCCCCATTTTCTGTGGCCGTTTGCGGTGAGGTACGCCGCACATCAGATCAACCTTCAGCCCAGGGTCTCCAGACCGGAGACCTCCCCAGCTTTGCTGTGGACGGGGAAGGTTGGCGATGCGTCGGCGTTCCGTGTCTGGGGATCTCGGGCGTTTGTCCGCGACTTGTCTGCGGACAAGCTGTCCCCTCGTGCTGCTCCCTGCGTCTTCCTGGGTTTCCCCCCTGACGCACCTGGGTGGCAGTTTTACCACCCCACCTCTCGTCGTGTTCTGTCCTCCCAGTACGTCACGTTCGACGAGTCGGCTCCCTTCTACCAGCTCTTCCCCTACCGCACTCCGTCGCTCCCCCCCCCGCCCCTCTTCCTGGTCCCAGGTCCCCCCCCGGTAGACCCCCTCCCCCCTCAGGGTCCTGCCCCTTCAGGTGTGTCTCAGGTAGACGCGGTCGAGCCTGTCGAGGTCACTGGTGACTCTGGTGCTGCTGCGGGTGCGGAGCCTCGGGGTGCTGAGACTGGGGTTGCTGAGCCTGGGGGTGCTGAGACTGGGGGTGCTGAGACTGGGGGTGCTGAGCCTAGGGGTACTGAGCCTGGGGGTGCTGCGACTGGGGGTGCTGAGCCTGAGGGTGCTGAGCCTTGGGGTACTGAGCCTGGGGGTCTGTGACTGGGGGTGCTGAGCCTGGGGGTGCTGAGCCTGGGGGTGCTGTGCCTGGGGGTGCTGAGCCTGGGGGTTCTGCGTCTGGGAGTGCTGCGCCTGCTGCTTCTGTTCCTGGTGGTTCTCCAGACCGTTCTTCGCGCCGCGAGCCGCTCTCTCCACTGGAGCTGCGTGAGTGGTTTGCCCGGCGCTGGAGGCGAGCTGCTGGAGCCGGGGGTACTGCGGGTGCTGGAGGTTCCGTTGCTGCCGAGGGAGCTGGTACCACGGGTCCCGGAGGTGCTCATACTGAGGGTACTGGAGCTGCCGGGCCCGGGGGTGCCTCTGGAGCTGGAGCTGCTGCGGGTGCTGGCGCTGAGGCTACGACTGTAGGTCCTACTGCGGATACTTCTGCATCTGCTGGTGGTGCTGGAGTTGGAGCTGCTACTGGTGCTGGTGCTGCCTCTGGAGGTGTTGGTGCTGTCCCTGCTGTCTCTGGCGGTGCTGCGCGGCCTCGGCCGTACTTCGTTTCCTTCAGCAGGTTCTTGGTCTCCCGCCTTCCACTGGTCCTTCTCCTCCCGTAGAGTGTCCGCAGCCTGTCCCGTCACGGTCACAGTTACAGCCCGCCTCTCCTCTGCCTTCTCCTTCTCCCTACGCTGGTCCTACTGGAGGTCTTGCTGAGCGTCGTGAGCCTGCGTCCCGCCCTGTGTCGCCAGTCCGAGCTGCTCGCACTAGTGGTCGCGCTTCGCGTCAGCGTCCTCCTCCTGTCCCTGGCACGCACCAGATGTCTCTGCGTCCGTCCACTGCTCCTCTGCGTGCCCCTTTGCTTTCTCCTCCTCAGTCTTCTCTTCCTACTCTTGCCGACCCGGAGTCGGACTCTCACCGTGCTGCCAGTCCTACTGTCACGCGTCTTCTTGCTACTCTTGTCACTGACCCTTCCTTTGAGTCCACTGCTGCGTCTGCCCTAGTTGCTGAGCTGGTCGACTTTGCTGCTGCGTGTCGTCTGGACTACGCTGCCAGTCTTGTTGCTGAGTCTGCGTCTGCTGCGTCTGCGTCTGCCTGTCCTCCGTCCGTCGGGGGTGGCTGTGCTCTTGGCACGGACGTCCTTGAGGACAGGCAGGAGGAGTTCCAGTGCTTTGCCGCCGCTTTGCCCCATCTCGTGTCCATGCTTGTTGCCCCTGAGGGAGACCCGGATGCTCTAGACATCCCGACCCCACGCTCTTACGCAGAGGCGATGGCCGGTCCCTACTCCTCTCAGTGGCAGTCAGCCATGGACGCAGAGATGGCCTCCTGGAAGTCCACAGGCACCTACGTTGACGCTGTTCCCCCTCCTGGGGCGAACATTGTCAGTGGCATGTGGATCTTCAGGGTGAAGCGGCCGCCGGGTTCTCCGCCTGTCTTCAAGGCGCGCTACGTGGCTCGTGGCTTCAGTCAGCGACAGGGAGTTGACTTCTTTCAGACCTTCTCCCCGACCCCGAAGATGACCACTCTTCGGGTTCTACTGCACGTCGCTGCTCAGCGTGACTACGAGCTACACTCTCTTGACTTCAGCACTGCTTTCCTGCAGGGCCGCCTGCACGAGGAGATCTGGCTGCGCCGTCTTCCTGGCTTCACTGGGTCGTTCCCTCCTGGTACCCAGTGGAGCCTCCGGCGGCCAGTCTATGGTCTCCGCCAGGCGCCGCGTGAGTGGCACGACACACTGAGGACTACACTTGCGGCTCTTGGGTTTGCTCCTTCTACTGCTGACCCGTCGCTGTTTCTGCGCACCGACACCTCGCTGCCGCCGTTCTACATCCTCGTGTACGTCGACGACTTGGTCTTTGCCACTGCGGACACTGCCGCACTCGCCCACGTGAAGTCCGAGCTGCAGAAGAGACACACGTGCACAGACCTGGGTGAACTGACAAGCTATCTTGGCTTGCGGATCACCCGGGACAGAGCACGCCGCACCATTACCCTGACTCAGTCACACATGGTGCAGCAGGTCCTTCAGCGCTTCCGCTTCACGTACTCCTCGCCTCAGTCCACTCCTCTGCCTATGGGACACTCGCTCTCAGCTCTGCCTTCGGATGAGTCCGTAGAGTCGAGTGGTCCGTATCCAGAGCTTGTGGGCTGCCTCATGTACCTGATGACTTGCACTCGACCTGACCTCGCATACCCTCTCAGCATCTTAGCACGCTATGTTGCTCCCGGCCGTCACCGGAAGGAGCACATGGATGCAGCTAAGAGGGTGTTGCGCTACTTGTGCAGTACGTCGGGCATGGGGCTAGTGCTTGGAGGGCGAGACCGGCCTGTTCTCACTGGGCACTCAGACGCTTCTTGGGCTGACGACCAGGCTACTCAGAGGTCGTCTCAGGGTTACACCTTCAGTCTTGGCTCTGGCTCTGTCTCTTGGCGCTCTACTCGCTCTTCTTCGGTTCTCAGCTCCTGCTGTGAGGCTGAGATCTACGCCACGGCCATGGCTGCCCAGGAGCTTCGCTGGCTCACCTACCTGTTGACCGACCTTGGAGAGCAGCCTCGTTCTCCTCCAGTGCTGTACGTCGACAACAAGGCAACCATTGCCTTGTGTGAGGAGCACAGACTGGAGCACAGGACGAAGCACATTGCTCTGCGCTACTTCCTTGCTCGAGAGCTGCAGCAGCGTGGTCAGCTTCGCCTGCGTTTCGTGGCCACTGAGGCCAACACTGCTGATGTGTTCACCAAGGCACTTCCGCCTCGTTACCATCAGCGCTTTTGCACTCTGCTAGGCCTTGTGCCCACTGGGCCTCACTTGCTTTCCTCTTGACCTTGCTTGTACTGGTGCATATATATATCCATGCTCTTGCTTGTTTAGCACTGTTATATATATATGCTCTGCTGCATGTGAACTGGCCTTGTGGCCTTGACCTTGTGCTCGGAATTTGTGTGGTATCCTTGAGATCCACCCTGAGCTTGCTTTGCTTTGCTTTGCTTTGCTTGACTGGTCTTGTGACCCCTTGCTCTCCCCCACTTTGCCTATGGGGGTGTGTCAGATGATTATATTACTGATGCATATATCTAGGCTGTAGTGGGGTAGCCCATAGGGGGTACAACCCAATTAGGGTTGGTACTTGTACTTGTTTCATTTCATAGTGCACACATTCCTCTCTCTAATCTCAACATTTCATTGCTGATTCTTAGCCTCTGTGACAGCTGAGATATGACCATCGAACCGATCTCTCAATGGCCGACGCCTGGCTTCACTCGGCTCGCAAGCTGCTTCCCCTCACTCTCTCCCTCCTGCTCCTCCTCGCCGTCACCAGGACCAGCTGCGCGCGGCTTATCCTTCACCCGTCCCCGTCCGACACCAGCGCGGATTCCGCGGTATCCCCACTCAGGGTGGAGCGGAAATTGTTCAGCTGGGACGATTTGACCGAGGAACATGTTATTAACGGCAGCTTCGGCATGATTGACGGTCCAAGTGACTACGCGGTGACTCAGTCGGTCGTGGAATTATTCTTGAACGCGGGGTACAACGTGATGGTCATTCAAAGCAAGCACTCCGTGCAGGGCGACCCGGCGTCCGCGCAGGTGGAGGTGCGGCATTCCAGGGATATATCGAAATTCACCGAGTATTACAAGAAGGGACGTTTCTGTGTGAAGAATCTTGGCAATGACAGGTACAAAAACTGGGCGTTTGGAGGCGTCTGGAAGCAAGTCGGCGCGGATAAGAAGGTTGTCGTCTTTTCCTGATTTGGTTCGGTAGTTGATCAAGAGCCTTGGCTTTCATTTTTTTTTTTTTTTTTTTTTTGGAATTGCTGAGTGCATTAAAAGGACAATGCATACAACAAGAGCAGTCGTAACTAAGCGTGAGGGCGGGCTTCATGCACCACCCAGACAGGCAACCTAGGGGGGTCTAAAAGCCCTCCTTGGCTTGTTCCAAATTGCATCGAAACTGGCCGACCACTTCCACTTCTTGTCGCCAGCCTCACGGATCCTTGTCAGCATTTTTTGCTCAGCTTCGAAAACCCCCCTGAATCTTTTGTGCTTCCCCGACGTGCCCGGCCTCAGACATTTCGCTCCTGTAGCCTTCGTGTATACCCTCGCATGCAGCCGAAAAGCTACCCCGATCCTCCTGAGCACCCTCCTCGCTCTGAACTTCTGCCCTCGAAACGTGGCATCACATCGTTCCACCCACAGCTGGTGGAGGGCGATAGCCGTGAGCGTTCCTTCTGGAAAGTCAGTCACTGTTCCAGATTCCATGAACAGCAGGTCTCCCAACGAGCTCGGAGACCGTGAAGGGTTGAGCATGCGGAGGGCACGACGTAGCCCTGAGACCACTGGTTGAATTCTAGGGCAGGTGAACAGGCAGTGTTCATGCGTCTCCTCCTCCCCGCAGTATGGGCACTTTGGCTTGCAGCTCAAAAAATCCACCCTCTCCCCAACCTGTAGGTTCAGGTTATGCACCCGCGTGAGGACGTCACGTGGCCGGCTCGGGATAGCGAGCGAGTTACGTGTACGAATAACCCGCTGCCAGTCAATCTTTCCACTCCAGCGACCAGCCCACTTCTCTTGTTTCGTCAGGATTGCGGTAGGCTTGGCCCATGCCTCCCTCAACCGCTTCAGAGGGGCGAGCTGCCCGTCCACAAATATGGCTGACCTGAAGATCGAGGTAACTGCGCTTCCCTCCCCTCTGGGTGAAACAGCTCCAGAAACTCCCCCAGCCCCCTGTGCCGAGCCAGGTACCAAGAGGTTCTTCCAATCTGGTGGAGCAGCTGCCAACGCCTTGAGAGCCAAGCGTGCTGACTCTTTCCCTCTCAGCTCCCTCTCCAGGATTTCCATGTCCTTAACCGCTGCTACGCCTGAGGAGTCAGTGGTTACCAGGTCACCCAAACGCGTTTCCCAAAGACCTTTTGCCGCTTGCTGACCTCCGATCGGGTTTGTGCCGTTCAGTAAAATATTCCTGTTAAAAACAAGCCGTTCATGCGCCACCTCCTCTTTGTTGAGAGCACCCCCGATCACGGCTAATGGCGACATCAGAAAAACCTCACACGTCTGCTTCCACCGTTCCTCGTCACCCGGCCAGTGCTTCAGCAATTTCTCGTGCGCCACGAAAGTGTCGTTCCCCATCGGGAGTCCGGCCGCAGTGAGCATAACTTCCTTTTTTTTCCCGTTCCCCTCCAGCAGTAGACCGCCGATCCTCCTGGCAGCCAAACAAGCGAGTAGGATATCCGGATCCAGCACCCCAAGGCCGCCGTCCACTCTGGGGGTGGAAAGAAGATCCCAGCTCCAAAGGAAATAGCTCCCATCCGCCGATGCGTTATTCCCTGACAGAAAGTTGTGCATCAGCTTCAAGAGCTGCTTCCAGACGTTCTCAGGTGGGGGATACACCTGCGCCTGGTAAGCGATTCTCGGCGTGATGTAGCAATTTATGATCACCACTCTGGCCGCGATCGTGAGGAAGAGCGCCTTCCATTTTATCAGCTCAACTGTGATTTTTTCGAAGGCTCTCTGCCAGGTTGGCGCACTGCTTCCAGAGGGAGTGACCCACACCCCGAGTAACCGCTCCGCTTCGTCCGCCTTTGCCCACTTAAAACCTCCCAGCGTCCCAGGTCTCCGCCCAAGGTTGTGACCGAGCGGCATGACCACTGACTTGTCTCTGTTTGTCGCCAAACCCGACAGTTGCGCGAAGTAGTCCAAGAGTTTTTCAGCCCTGGCAATCTGTCGCTTCCCCTCCAGGAAGAGTGTCGTGTCATCCGCATAACCCAGGTATACCAGCCGCTGCCCTGCCTTGTTGCAGAGTCCGAGTTTGCGACGGCAAGCTTCTTGCGCAAGGGGTTCCACCGCGCACAGGAAGAGGTAAGGGGCGAGTGGACACCCTTGCCTGACTCCTGACTTCACATCTACCGCTTCGCCCAGCCAGCCGTTAACTAAAAGTCTTGTCTTTGTCTCCCTGTGCAGGCCCTCCACCCAGCCGACGAACCTCTCCGGGAAACCCATCTCCCTGAGGACCGTGAAGATGAAGCTTCTTGAGACGGAGTCAAACGCTTTGCGGAAGTCAACCAACAGCAAGTACCAGTCCTCGTCACCCTTCTTTGCCGCCTCAATCACGTCGGCTACCACACCGATCGCGTCCGAGATTCTCCTCCCGGGTATGAACCCATACTGTTCCTCGGAGATTACTCGGTGAAGCAAGGGCCTCATCCTGTTCGCCACCACACGCGCCAGAACTTTGTAAGTGAAGTTAAGTAGAGTGATTGGTCTGTAATTGTCCAGCTTGTCCTTGTCTCCCTTTTTATGAAGCAAAATGGTGACTGCTTCCTTAATGCTGGCAGGAATTGAAGCCGTGTCAGAGAAGTTCTGCGCCATTCTAAGGAATTCCCCACCCAAGATGTCCCAGTTCCGTTCGAAAAGTTCTTTCGGAAGGCCGTCCTTCCCCGGCGACTTATTGTTAGCCAGCGCCTTGAAGGCCTGTTTCACTTCCTGCTCCGTCCAATCTGCTTCCAACATCTCCGCCGCCTCCGCATTCAGCCTTTTCCCCGGAAGTGGCTTCCACCGCTCCGACGAAGTCCTGCCGTCTGCTCCAAACAGGTCGGTGTAGTACTGAGTGGCTGCTTTCAGAATTCCCTGAGCGTCTGAAACTGTCGTCCCACCCACCGTTAACTCCGCGATTTGCGTGCGCTGCTTTCTGACCTTCACCCGTGCCGACAGGAAGGGAGACGGAACCTCCCCTGCAAGCTCCGTGTTCGTGTCTGCCATCAGGTGCAACCTGTCCCGCTTGGCCGCATGATATTCGTGCAGTTGCGTTTCTCTGACCAGCAGAAGATCTCTCGTCCGCTGACAGCCTGGACTCCGCATCTGCTCCTGCCTCAGCTCCGCAACTACATCTACCAGATGAGCAATAGTTCTCTTAATCCTCTTCCCCTCCTCTTTCATGTATGAGCGCAGACCCGCGTTCAGCCTACCCAACAGCAGCTGAAAGTCCTCTACTCCGTTCTCCGCCGCCTTGGTAAGAGCGGCTTCCACCGCCTTCCGCACTCCTGGCCTTCCGATTGCTGCTGCGTGCAGCCTCCAGATCCCGGGACCCAGGTGAGTGGTGGCTCTGGTCTTGAAAGCGATTTTTATGGCGAACCCATGATCAGAGATATGTTCTTCAGGCATCGTGTGAGCAGCGACTTCAAGATGGGGGAGGAGAGAGCAAGAGATGAGGGCTCGATCGATCCTGGAGCTTGAGTCACTGGAGGCGGAATAGAAGGTAAACTCCCGCTTCTTTGGGTGCAGGGCGCGAAACGAATCTGAGAACTGAAAGCGACTGCAGCGAGCGATGAGCCTGTCGTTTTCTAAGGGTGTCCCCGTCTGTGAGGTTCTGTCTAAAGTGGGGTCCTCTACCGTGTTCAAATCTCCTATCAAGACGACATGCGCGTTGGACTGGATCTGATCTATGGCTGGACCGATGACATTGGTTAGAAAGGAGCATCTGGTGGTGGCATCCGCAGGGTAGTAGGCTGCTAAAAGCACAAGGGTGAGACCCGGTCGGCTAACTTCTGCTACTATCAGTCTGCCAAAGGGGTGTGCGGCGATGCAACGAACTAGGATGGAGGGATCTCTGGTGAGCACCGCAACCCCACCGGCTTTGTCAATGGGGGGGGTGGTGAGGACTGATGCGAAGGGTGGAGTTTTCCAGTAGGGGTGATCGTCTGGAAGTCTAGTGTCTGAGAGAATGAGGATGTCGGCTGCTGTGCGTGTCCATGCTGTGACTCTGGATTGCTTTGTTCTGTCGCCAAGGCCGTTAACGTTCAGGCCTGCTAAGGAGAGAAAATTCTTGTTCGTCATTTATTCACTGATTGGCAGCCCCTGTTCATCCACAGGCTGATGACGGACACAACGCTAACAACTGCACTCCAACCTACTATCGACCACAGCACACGATTCTCGCATTGCAGCCTCAGAACCCATAGTCTTTCTTCAGGCTGGCAAGGACCGCCTTGTCCAGTGAGACCTTTGTTGCTGTGCCCAGCTTCTCCAAGTTCAGCAGGTGAGTCGCTGAGACGATGTGGTCTGCAGCAGCCATGAAGGATTTTCCTTTCGCCTTTCCACAGCACAATTGCGTACAGATCCACTCCTCGCGGTTGCTGCCGGTTGAGATAAGTGCAATCGCAGGATCTTTCAAGATGGGGGTGATCAGAGCGGAGGTGCTCAGGGATGAGGCTGCGAGAGCAAACGGGGACGTCAGTGCCTGGTGAAAGAGGTAAGGGTGAGGCGACGTTATGGAAATGATCGATGCGGTTACCGTTAATACGGTGAATCTTTCCCAGGCACAAGTTCCACTTCCCTATGTTGTTCTGCCGCTCTGTGATGTACAGATCATGATGAATGTCATAATGCTGGCCACCGCAGAGCAGGCAGGACAGTGAAGGGAAGTGGACTAGCAGCTTCGCGCCAGTCTCCATCGGATTGTCGACGATGTGTCGCCAGCGGTAGCGGTCACCAGGATGCTGAACGACCAGGCCCTTGATCACATCAGTATCCGCACCGGTAAGAGGATGAGCCACGCGGTGGAAAGCAAAACCCTCTTTGAAGGCAGACTGCTTCCGCATCTTTAGCTTGAAGCGGACGAGCAGATCCTTCAGCACCTCAGGGACAATGTTAGCAGGTACGCGACGAAAAAGCACTTCAATAGCAAGAGGGTGAGCAGCTTTCTCCTTAAGGTACGAGGAATCTTCCGTGTGCTGCCAGATTGCCGGACCGTGCGCCTTCTGGTACTCGAAGACATGTGACTTGATATGGTGAGCATCCCTCTCGTCCAGGAAGGAAATTTGCAGCCGGCAGAAGCGCGTCTTCGCCACGTAACCAGGAGTCATCTCCTGAATGTTGGCCGTGATTCCAGCATTCGCGGTAAGGGAGGAGCACCACACCTTAGACATCAGAAGACGGACGGCTGAGATGATAGCTTTGATCTCCTGTGACAGCACCATCGGAATGAGTAAGATAACGGTAAAGCGGAGGCGGAAAGCATCTTCCTTTGCGATATCAATGTCTAACTCTTCTTCCGAGTCGTCTTCCAGAAACTCTTCCTCGTCGGCAACCACGGACTGATGCAACTGACTCTTTTCCTCCACTGTCAGTCCCGAGCTTCCCGCAGCACCAGCAGCAGACACTGATGCCGGCTCAACCGCGACAGCCTTATCCTTGGACGAGTTCACCGTGTGTGCCGAATCCTTCCCAACAGCCTCTTCGTCCACAGGTGTTGGCGTGAAGTTCTGATCCGGCATGATGTCGTCAGGGAGAGTAACATCCACGGCCGCCTTAGTCGAGCGACCCTTCGGAGGCATGGTGCGATGATGACTTGAAGAGAACGGCTGAAGGATCGTTGAGCAGATCCTGGTTGACCGATAAGCTTGTGAAGCTTCTGCTGCTCGAGTACTGAGCACCACCTCCTTATAACCTTCTCTCTGCGCCAGGGATTTGCTCTCTTGATCGAAATGGTGCGTTCCCGAGGTTGAAACCTTGGGATCATGTCGAGGTTGGAAAGACTTGATAATGACCTTGCGTTTTGAAGAGTAGATACACTGCTAATGTATTGTTTTGAAAAAAGGCCTGGACGCGACATTGTCAGAGAACCTTGGAGTTAGGTTAGCTTGAAATATGCTTGCAACAGTGAGCCGAACCCGAGATGCCGAAGATACAATGCCCGCGAAGTAGACATAAAAAGGATATCCTCCGCTTCTTAACGAACTCAGGAAAACAGATCTGTGCTCAATGTTACCAACAGGTAAGTAACCTTCACATAACAGGCCTCCGAAGCTGCGCGGAGAAATCCATGGCGATCTCATGGCGGTCTGCTCATTCAGCTGCGTACAAGAGCAACTAGGGACGCGTCAGCCAGAATTAGAGCCTTGGCTTTCAGGTTTACGATAGTTGAAATGATGAGGTGATCTCATCAATGGTGCTGGTGTTATTGTTATGCTTGTTGCTGTAAAAAGATGCTGATCCACAGAATGCACTGATCCTCTCTACAATTTCACCTGTACCTTCACAATACCATTGTAAAGGCCTCGTGGGCTAAAACTACTGCTCTGAATGTGCTTCAATGGGTACTTCTGCGTAGGGCACATGGTACTGAGCAATCCCACAGTATGTTTAGTGACAAAAACCATGAATTGACAGATAGCCGTGGCTTATAGCACACCATAGAACTGTTTGTTACAACCACATACAGCATTGAAGGCCGGAACTGCTAAGTGAGAGGCCCACACCAAATCATTGTTTAGCCTGCTGACGTGGACGGGCCAGGGCTGATTTTATCAGGGTAATTACCCTGATTTCAGGGTGATTACAGGCTTCTCACCTGGTGGCCCCTGCAATCTCAGAATTTCTGACTTGTGAACACTGATCCATTCAGAATAGTGCTTTAGCGAACCCTGAAATATTGTATCTAGGCTCAGAGTAGTGTTCTTACTGACTCTGTCAATGTAGAGTACGCGTTCTGTGGACTCTAAACTTGACCTTATCGGAACGAAGTTTCTCGAAAATTTCCTTCCGATAACCCCGTTGAAATGAACGAACAGGAATGATTGAACTAACAGTGAAATCAGTACAAGTACCTAACCCTAGAATTGTGTACCCCCTATAGGCTAACCCACTGTAGCCTAAACAAGCACAACATATATAATGTTTGACACACCCCCATAGGCGAAGTGGGGGAGAACTAGGGGTCACAAGACCAATCAAGTAAAGCAAAGCAAAGCAAGCTCAGGGTGGATCACAAAGTCACCACACATTCCGAGCACAAGTTCAAGGCCACAAGGCCAGTTCACATGCAGGAGTACATATATATATATATATATATATATATATATATAAGGCTAGACAAGCAAGAGCAGGTATATATATATATGTAACAGTACAAGCAAGGTCAAGAGGTGAGCAAGTGAGGCAAGACAGGTACAACGCCCGGGTCTTCAGCACCAGCAGCAGCTCCAACGCCCGGGTCTTCAGCACCAGCAGCAGCTCCAACGCCCGGGTCCTCAGTACCAGCAGCAGCTCCAACGCCCGGGTCCTCAGCACCAGCAGCAGCACCAGCGCCAGAGTCCGCAGCACCAGCCGTAGCTCCAACGCCCGGGTCCGCAGCACCAGAAACAGCTCCAACCTCTGGGGCCGTAGCACCAGCAGAACCAGTAGAGTCTCTAGCACCAGTAGCACCACCAGCAGCAGCGGGGTCCGCGACACCAGGCGCGCCACTCCGAAGAGTGCAGCGCCGCTCGTACCACTCACGGATCCGCTCACGGGAGGGGAGCTCCCGGCTAGGAGGAGAAGCACTAGCACCAGTCCCAGTAGTACGCCTGGCTCCAGAGGTACCTCTCCTGAGGCTGCAGTACTGGAAGTACCACTCATGCAGCTGCTCCGAGGAGAGGGCTCCGCCAGGTGTAGGACCCTCAGGCACAGGACCTCTAGACTCAGAACCCTTAGACTCCGGACTCTGCAGCTCAGCACCCCCAGGCTCAGTACTCCCAAGCTCAGCACCCCCAGGCTCCGCACCCCAAGGCTCAGCACCCCCAGGCTCCGCACCCCCAGGCTCCGCACCCCCAGGCTCCGCACCCCCAGGCTCCGTACCCCCAGGCTCCGCACCCCCAGGCTCAGCACCCCCAGGCTCCGCACCCACAGCAGGACGAGAGTCGAAAGCTACCTCAACAGGCTCAACCGGGTCTACCTGAGACACACCTGAGGGAGCGGCACCCTAAGGGGGGAGGGGGTCTACAACAGCAGCACATGGCGCGAGGAAGAGAGGCGGGGGGGGGGAGCGGGGCAGTGCGGTAGGGGAAGAGGCGGTAGTAGGGGACGGACTCGTCAAAAGTGACGTCCTGAGAGGGCAAGACTCGGCGCGAGGTGGCGTGGTAAAACTGCCAACCAGGCGCGTCCGGGACAAAGCCGAGGAAGACGCAGGGAACAGCACGGGAGGAGAGCTTGTCCGCAGACGTATCGCGGACAAAAACTCGAGATCCCCAGACCCGGAAACACGACGCATCGCCAACCTCCCCCGTCCACAGCAGTGTGGGCGAGGTCTCCGGCAAGGAGACACGGGGCCAGAGGTTGAGCTGATGCGCAGCGTACCGGACCGCAAACGGCCACAGAAAGTGGGGGGCAGCCGCATGGATCAAGGAGGTATGGGCGACCTCCATGACCAGGCCAATGCGGCGCTTTGCAATCCCATTCTGCTGTGGAGAGGCCAGAAGCGTGAACGACTGCTCAATGCCGTGCTCAGCACAGTAGGCTGCCAAGAGGTCGGAGGAGAACTCACCACCTCTGTCAGAGTGCAAGCGCAGGACAGGAAAGTCCGAGTGGAAACGCTCGCTGAGCTGGAGACGGGCTCTGCGGATCCAAGGGATCAAGACATCAGGGACCTCACCCTTGGTGCGCAAGGGGAAGACCGTGGTGTAGCGCGAGTAGTCGTCAACAACTATCAGGAAGTACCTCTCCTGACCCTGACCACGGACGCGGGCTGGGCCCCACACGTCCATGTGGAGCGTCTGCAAGGGAGCAGTCGTCGGGGGAAACGAGGAGGAGTGAGGAGCGGCGCGCTGCAGCCCCTCGACGCAGGGAAGAGAGGGAGGAGCAGGCGAGGGTGGGAGGGGAGGGAGGACTCTGGGAAGACCGGAGAGAAGGTACCGGGAGTGCATGGCACGAAGGCGCTGCACAGACGGGTGGCCAAGTCGGTGGTGCCAGAGGACAGTCTCGTGCGCTAGAGAGCGACACAAGCAGGGGGCAGACAGCTCACCTGATGCGGACGCAGACGCAGACGCAGCGACCTGAGGGGACTCAGTGGTCAGTGTGTACAGGTCCGACCCCGGCTGCCGAGTGAAGGTAGCCAAGTGGCGGCCCGTACGAGCACACGTGCAGTGTGTCACGCGCTCGTAGGCAGGGGTGAACTGGTGAACACCCCCGTCCTGGAGTGCACTACCTGCCACCAAGTTCGTAGAGAACGAGGGGAGGTGGAGACCTGGTAGTGTGCCCGACGGGACCGCAGGACAGGGAAGGACAGTGGAGGAGGTCGCAATGACCGGACCCCCAGAGGGGTCAGCGAGGGAGACAGCAACTGGCCGAGCAAGCGGCTCAAGGGCAGTGCGGTCACGAAAGAAGCAGCGAGAAGCACCTGAGTCCAGTGTGAAGGTGTGCAGTGCTGCCGTCGACTCAGTACCAGGTGGGGCAGACGCACAAGCACCTAGAGCAGCTGCCTCACCAGCACCTGGGGTAGCACACACGCGAGTACCTGGAGCGGTAGACGCACTAGTCCTAATGCCCGGGTCGGGTGGCACACACAGGTACTCAGCACCCTCTCCACTAGTAGACATCACATACATAGCAGTGAGAATGGCATCAAAGTCTAGAGCATAGATATCAATCCCCTTCTTCAGGAGATTAACCCAGCGGGGCAGCTCAGTGGCCTGAGGGAACTGAACACGCCAAGCGTCGTTGAGACGAGCGAAGCAGCGCTGTGTGGCGTGCGGTCCCCCACACGGCTGACCAGTGCGGTCACCAGTGCGAATGACGTACGTGCAGCTAAAGCCACCCCCCCCCCCCCCCCCCCCCCCCGTGCTGAGAGTACCACTCACGGACCTCCTGGGGCGACGGAATGTGCTGCTGGCCCTGGCCACCGCCAGCGCCTCCACGACCACCACCGCCGCCGCCACCTCCTCGACCACCCCAACCTCTGCCGCCGCCGCGTCCACCGCCACCCCCACCACCGCCTCCGCCCCTGCCACCTCCCCCGCCGCTGCCGCCACCACCCCCACCGCTGCCACTAGCCCCTCCAGTCGCGCCACCACCCCCACCGCCGCCACCGCCCCCACCACCGCCTCCCCCGCTGTCACCGCCACCTCCCTTGCCCCCTTTGCCTTTGCCAGTGCGGCGCCCGCTCGAAGCAGACGCAGTCTCGACCTTCTCAGCACCAAGGAGGTCGACAGCAGCAGCAGAGGCGACAGAGGGAAGAAGGGGGGATTGAGAACACCCCTCAAAGAACGGGGTACGGGGGTCGCCACGAGAGGCACCTACAGCGACTATGCTAGCCTCAGCTGCAAGGAGTTCCTTCTCGAGGAGGGCAATGGTGAGCTCAGTGGGGCAGCGAGCTAGGAAGTGGGCCCTGACTGAGCGCAGAGTGTCAGGGAGGCGGGTGACTAGGTGGTAGAGAGTGAGCCAGAGTGGGGGTGGGTTCTTGGCAAGGAACTCATTAGGCATGGGGGCGCAGAAGCGAGCCTCACTAGTGCGGAGGTGCGTAATGAGGTCAGCGAGTGTGTGGAAAGAGGCTAAGTCGGGGAACAGGTAGGGAAGAGAGAGA